TAAGAGGGGAAGGCCAGGAGGAAGAGGTGAAGGAGGGTGGCACGTCAGAAGTTCTGGTTTTTTGTTGGTGCTGCCTTATACATTGTGAAAGTATTAAACAAGAAAAGCATCATTCTCCTTCAGATACCGGATCAGCAGCCTTAATAGATTGTCCCCTTTCCATTGTGCTTGCAGATAAATAAGATACATTTGAAAAGGACTGCAAGGTAGTAGGGACAGCTAAGACTCAAGAACTGACTCTGTGCTGGTAACTGGTTTATGTTCTGGTTTCACAGGACAGCATGCAGAGGAAAGTATGAGTCAGAGCCTTTCCTATTAAATTCCCCATGATACAACAAGAAATACTTCCAAAATACCTCTGTCTGTGTGTCATCACCACCCCAGCACACAAGGCAAAAATGCTAACACAGCATTCCCCCGTTACAATGGCTGTGACAGGGAGAGAGATAAAGCAATATATTGGCTTGGGGTGCTACAACACAGGGGGCTGTTGTGGCACAATAATGCAGGGCTTTGGGGTGCAGAGTGTTGTCAAAGCTGTGTAGTGTCAGCACTGGGGAGAGGCCCTCCCAGCTTTGACAATATTGCTGTCAGAAAGATATGCCTCTCTAAAACTTCCACCCTCACTCGTGCTCATAGCAAACTTCTCAAATAACTTTTGCTAAGTGCATCGGTTCTCTCTTCAGAAAGGCCTTGGCTCGACACCGATTTTCGTAAGGTCTGTTGTGCCACCAGGAGGACTTCTATTGAACTACACTTTTAAATGTTCCAGGCCTGATTAAATACTACAGTTTGACCGATTATATTTGAATTAGTAAAAAAAAAAATATAAAAAAAATTAATTTCCACTATCTGCAGTATTTTTTTTCGCATAGGAGTGATAACTAACAGAAATTCTTCTGCCTCTTTCATTTTGACGGCAGTGGGAAACTGCAAAAGCACACGTACATAGGTACAGCTTCGTGCAGTGTGTCATTTAGTGTGAAATGACGTGTCCAGGTCTGGGCTCCTCAGTACAAGGGACACATGGAGCTACTGGAGAGGGTCCAGCAGAGGCCACAAAGATGATTTGGGGTATGGAGCATCTCTGATGAGGAGAGACTGTGAGAACTGGGCCTAGTTAGCTAGAGGAGAGTGAGAGGGGATCTCACTTAACACATATAAATATCTCCTAGAGTTGTGTAAGAGGATGGTACCAGACTTTACTGTGGTGCCCAGAGACAGGATAAGGGCCAGTGACCATAAACTAAAACACAAGAAGTTTCACCTCAACAGAAGGAAGAACTTCCTTACACTGAGGGTGGCAGACCCTGAAACAGCTGCCCAGGGAGGGTGTGGAGTCTCCTCTCTGGAGACGTTCAAACCCACCTGGACGCGTCCCTGTGCACCTGCTCCAGGTGCCCCTGGCCGGGCAGGGGGTTGGACTGGGGAATCTCCAGAGGTCCCTTCCAACAATCCCGTGATTCTGTGACATGCAGGCGCTACCTTCGTCAGCATCTAAGGCAGAAACGGACGAAGCTGGGCGTTCCGGGTGTCCCCCCGGGTGTCCTGCCCGGAGGTGTCCCCCGCGGGCGGGCGGTGCCGGGGCGGGCCCGCCGAGCGCGTTGCGGCCCCGCGGGCGGAAGGGGCGGCGCGGGGCGGGCGCTCGGGACGGAGCGCGGCGGAGATGCCGGTGAGGGGCTCGATTACCGCGGGGCACCGGGGGGCACCGCGGGGCCGGGGGGTGATTAAGGGAGCGGGGCGGCCCCCCGGGCTCCCGCGGCCCCCGGGCCGGCCGGTCCGTCCCCCCGGGCGGGCTCGCTGTCCGTGCGGCCCCAGTAACGCAGGGCCCTTCTGCTCTCCCCCACCCAGCTGGCCAAGGACCTCGTGCACCCCTCCCTGGAGGACGAGAAGAGAAAGCACAAAAAGAAGCGTCTCGTGCAGAGCCCCAACTCCTACTTCATGGATGTGAAATGTCCGGGCAAGTATTTAAAATGTTTACGCCTTGCGGAGGGCGCAAAACTATGAGTGCTATAAATCCTTATAAAACAGCTGCTTATTACATATGTATTTTATATATTATATACATTTTTAATATCTATTTCTTTTTAATCTAAGTTTGTTCTGTAGAGATAAAGCTTTGTATATTGCTTTGGGGTTTTTTAACAACAGAATTGTTTCTGGAGGTCTGGCATGAAGTTTTTCTTGTTTTTTTTTTTCCCCTTATGAAACCCTTGCAAGTAAGGGAAAAAAAAAAAAACAACATGTATAAAAAGTGAGATTAAATGGGTGCCTTAAAGCATCCACAGCACAAGTTTCAAGTAGAAGACAACATTAAAGATTACATCCTTTACAAGTTTTCTCTCTCGAAAAATTCCTCTTGGCTAATTGGAGTATTTTTCAGGGGGAAAAACTGAAAAGCAGTGAAAATCCCTTTTTTTTTTTTGTATAAGTGATTTCATTCTTTCTGAAGTCACGGCATTTATAAGTTGTAGGCAAAAGCATTGCATGAGGAATTAGTGAAAGTACTTTGTACAAGTCTTCTGATTTAAATGTCACGTTGGCTTTATGGAATGCAAGCCAGCACCTGCCTTACCGGTACCAGTGATTAAACAGAAAACAAACACAGGTTGGAACAGCAGTGTTTATATTCACAGCTGCCAGGCTTTGTCAACAGCAGTGTTCTCCTGTTACAAGTTAAATATTTCTCTGGGCAGGTGTGTTTTTGTGTTTAGCAGAGAAGGTTAATCCAGAACTGCTCCTCTTTGCAGGACACACAGTACAGGCAAATTAGGCCTTGTCAGCCTTCGGGCTGTGTTGATTTTCGGATGGGGAGTCCCAAGTTTCAGTTACCCGACTTGCTTTCCCGTGCATGTAAGGAAAAGCAGGTACTTCAGTCCACAACCACGACTGGCTTCGTTTGGCTTGCTGTGTTGTGCAGTGAAATACAGCTGCATTTTTGGGCAGGTGTACTTGGAGTGTCTGAGTAACACACACAATAAAACCACACTGCAAATACCCCCTGGAAAGTTCAATGATGCTGTTTTGCAGGATGCTACAAGATCACCACCGTGTTCAGCCACGCTCAGACAGTGGTTCTGTGTGTAGGGTGCTCAACTGTGCTGTGTCAGCCCACTGGGGGCAAAGCCAGGCTCACAGAAGGTAAGGGGCAACGTTAGACTGCCTAAATATTCCACTTATATAAATGCATTTTATAGCCTGCGAATATTTTATCTTTGATTCTGGAAACTGATACTGGAACACTTCCAGTTGGCCAGTAAATACATTGTTAATGGACCCTGAATTGGGAATTTTTCCTCAGATTCTTGCTCTTAAAAGGCAGCTAAAACAGCTACAGTGTCATCAAACACACTTCATTTTAGGTGCCTTGACTTGTCACGTAATAAAAGCTGCTGTTTAATTCTGAGCTATGTTCAGAGTGTTCAAAAGCACCACCAGAGGAGGAGGGTGCTTTTGGCAGGCTGAAGTGCTTGTGTGCCACTGCTACTCTGGGTGGCTTGCCTGCTTGTTTTTAAGCAGTAGTGCTGTAAGGCAGTTCCCTGGCTCACACTCCTTAATAAAAATCTGCTTTGTGTAATTACAAATGTAACAAATAACCACTGATAATTATATACAGGTAACTGGTATAACACCGGTATCTTGGAATGTACTGGAATCACTTCAGGGTGTAAGAAATTAAAATCCAGATTACATTAATTTCTTGTTTAAAGGACAAAGGGTAAACATACATACAGATTACATTTTAAAATAGTACACTTTGGTCTTACCTTAAGATGAATTATGTGACAGCCATGTTGTTCTGGTTGAGCTAGAGAAGACTTACAGTGCTGACTTCACCTCTTGTACATGAAATTTGAATTTACTGGATCAGCTTTTCCTCTTTACCCTGGATGGACAGATTTTCAAGGCAGTGTAACCATTTAAGGACTGTTCACATCTGTGCTATGTGCTTCCTTCACAGGCTGTTCATTTAGAAGAAAGCAACACTGAACACTTCAAGCACGTGGGTCTGGATCTGTGTTCCTGAAAGCCTTACCAGTTTAAAAATGCCTCTTACTACAACAATGTAATTATGACTGATTTTGTAAAAATTACCTGCTATTGCTGACTAATCTGCTGGAATCTTTTTCAATAAATGATTTGAAGTGCAAGTTTTTCCTGGAAGTTTGCAGACAGCTGAGCTCTATTTTTGTAATTTCCCTTCCAAAGAGTGGTAAAAGCCTCGGACTTGGCTGCATCCTTCCCCTTGTTAATCATCAACTACAGCAACATAACGCATACAGTGACAGAATCTGCTTTAAGAATGTATTTTGCATATTTTATTCCTTCAGCTGCCCTAACTGCAAGGGTTGTGAAAGCTGGATAGACTTAAAATGGCTCCTTTGCTTTCAGTGTAATCCCTTCACCACGTTGGTGATTTGTCACGTGGTGATCAATAAAAATGTGAAGTTACTCACCCGTGTCCAGCTGTTTCTCTGGAATGCAGGGTTTTCCCCTCCCTCTGCTTTGGTCTCTAGACTGCATTTGGCTTTCTACACTGAGGTTTCTATACACCAAAAAAATAAAGGAGACTTTTGCAAAACTCTGAAAGCACTCAGGACAGAGAAGGCATATGGTACATAAGCAGCAGTAAGTCAGGACTACACTAAGAGCTGTGAATGGCATCTAGTCATTAAAAACCTGCCTATTTTCAGTATTAAATAGTGACAATAAATAATTACCTTTTTGCAGTGAAGAAATGGGTTTAATTAGGTTTCTTAAAGCCATGCCTTTCTAAATGGCTGTTAAAAATGGGTTTATGTTTTTAACCATGAGAAAACATTCAAATAAAATCTTGCAGATCTTATTTTACTAAATAATATCTCAAGTTATGCATCCACATCTCTTTCAGAGGATCAGGTGTCTTGGTGAGCTAATTTCTATTTAACCAGTATTTTTTTTATGACTTTTAAAAGTTGCACATTTCTAGTCAATAAAAAAAACAAAACAACAAAACCTGATATAACAAGTGGTTGCATTTGCAAGGTTTTATTTCAGTTATTTCAAGCAGTGAACACTTGTAATTAGCAGATTCAAAAGGCAGGTGTTTGCTACAGAAACAGATATTCCAATGGCATATGCATGTCTTCTAAGGGAAGTACAGTTTTGTGTCAGTGCCATACCATGTTTCCACAATAAAGGTTCAAACAGGAATAAGTTTATCATGAAAGTTGCTCTTAATTGACCAGTTTCCCACCTGTAATGCCAGTCCATCCAATAACTGGTTTCAGAACAAAGATCAAAGCAGCACTATTAGTTCAGTTGTGACCTGAATGCAGATGCCAAGGCCAGACCAATTCTTAGTCTCCCTCTCTCTGCCTTCTCTTCCTCTACCCAAAATGTAAGAACTCATGATTTAGTAAACACCACAGCAGAGAATGGCAGTGACCCTTTTAGTTCCAGGCACTGGGAGATGAAATGTAGACATCATGGCATCTCCAGCACTGCCCATGTGACAACAGAGGCTTTTGGAAAGCCTTAAGTTACAGGAGGAACAGTCTAAACAACATGGTATGCATATAAAAACTGGTGGCTAAACATATTCTGTATGGGGAGTGAGACACTATCTGTGCTCTCCTGGTGTTGGAGATGCCTTAGTTCTTACCATTATTCACTTTCCTACTTCAGATATTTACATTTATTAGTGTTTGGTCACATGCAGACAAGGATAAACCTACACCTTCCACGTTCTGAATCTCTCTCTGAACCCACACACAACAGTCAGTGAATGAAACTTCTTTTCTCCCAGGTGTGCAAAGCTGTTTTCAGAAACATACCATTTGCAAACAGGTGCATCATACAAGCCAAATATGCTAGAAATCCTAGAGCAAGCGTTACTTTTCAGATTTTCTATGTTCAAAACATTTTGTTTGGTCTATTTCTATTCATGTCCTTGAACATGAAAACAACTAACTCAGAGCTTTTTATTGTCATGCCCTGTGTAAAACAAGCAATGGCTTCTGCTGCTGCAGGTTTACCAGGCAGGAGGTGCTCAAGACTGGGTAGGAAAAATAAGCTGCTGTTGCAGATGATGCTCACCTCCAGTCTTTCCGTATTGGAACTGTCAGATAATACTCACACTGCAGTGGAAGGGGAGATAATTTACTGCCTGGCCAATGAAAGCTCATCCAGAAGGGTTCTCTCTGTTTCTTCACTGATTGGATAGTCTTGAGATAAAGACAATTATTAATGACATCATTAACGAATAAAAAAAGTGAAGTTTTGCTGAGTGGGCCAGAAACCCCAAGCAAATGGTTTAGGTATAAGCTTTGACTGTTTTAAGGCACAAGAATGATTAAATGATGAAGAGTAAACTAAAGCAGTCCTACTAGCTTCAATTAAAAATGTAGGTAAAACACTGATCCCACAAAATATTAAATGTCTTGGTTTGTCAGTGCTGGGTGATAAATGTTACCACAGGCCCCCTGGGAACAGAGGTGGCAGCAGAATGTTCATCACGGGGCAGGTAACAACTAGGAAGCCAATACTGAAAGCACTAACTTGGGAAAGAGGCAGGTAGAGCTGTTTTCTGCTAGCTGTTATCCAAGACATCTTGTTCCCTAAATTCAGAGAAGCAGAGCTGCAAAAGAGTGCAGGGAAGTAAGTAGTGGAAGATATTTCATGACAAGATACTCCATTCTGTCTCAGCCTGCAAACAGTGTCTGATGCAACTGCAGGGGAAGTGAGGTGGGGGTTAATCTTTGGGGCAAAATTTTGGAGATCCTATGTGTTACTATATTCCTATAGTAAAATTAAAGATTAGAGAATCTCACACCTCAAGTGAATTCAATGAAGACATTGAGAAGTCCAATGAAGACATGAGTGAGTCCAGAGAAGGACAGTGGAGCTGGGGAAGGGTCCGGAGCACAAATCTCATGAGGAGCAGCTGAGGGAGCTGGGGGGGCTCAGCCTGGAGAGGAGGAGGCTCAGGGGTGACCTCAGCACTCTCTACAACTCCCTGAAAGGAGGGGGAGGAGCTTGGGAGTTGGGCTCTGCTCCCAGGAACCAGCAATAGAACAAGAGGAAATGGCCTCAAGCTGCACCAGGGGACATTCAGGTTGGACATCAGGAAGAATTTCTTCACTGAAAGGGTGCTCAGGCACTGGAAGGGGCTGCCCAGGGAGGTGGTGGAGTCACCGACCCTGGAGGTGTCCAAGGAACGAACTGGACGAGGCACTGAGTGCTCTGATCCAGTTGCCACAGCTTGGAGTCGATGATATTGGAGGTCTTTTCTAATCTTATTGCTCCTATGATTCTATGAAAATGCTTCTTTGGAACACAGGACAGTTTCTTTTTCAGCCTTGGGCCAAAGTAACTCCTTGAAGCACATCTCCAACTGGAGCAAAGGATGGTTTTCCAAAAAACCTCTCCCAAGTCTGTCAGACTTCTACTGCTGGCTTCAAGAATGGGCTTGACATTTCACTGAGTTCCTAACTCCTGTGTGCAAAGGAATATTTACATTACAGGATACAGTGCCATTTCTGGCTCCCAACTTAGCACGTGGATCATTCAAAAGCAAAGGGACAGTTTGGCAGCTCACCACGTTGTGCCATTTGGGTGCATCTGACTGTAGAAATAATCTCCTTACTGCACAGTAAACTATTATTTTCACACAGTCTCTGTGTCCAATAAAAATGGATGAGAGAACATCTGAAAACCAAAAAGATTTGTACTTACATTGCTCTAGCTTCATTCTTTTCTAACTCTCAACAATCCACAGCTCTGACAAAAGCCTGCTTCTGGTATAAACCTGCATTCTGGAGGTTTGCATCAAGGTTTGGGCTTTGTTGGCTTTTTTAAACAAAAAAGAAACGTGCTATGGGAAAACAAAAATCAACAGTGAAATTTTTTCTTTAAAAAGTAATACTGAACAGTTTTGGCAGACTGGAACTGTGAGAATAACAAATAACATCTTTGTGTGCTCAAAGCTAGGTGTGAAGTTTCTCAAAAGGCAGATAATTTTTTGTACTACTTAGTGCAAAAAACAATGCTAGGGGTTTTTTTTAAATCTTGGTCAAGTGTTTCACTGGTTGATAAAAATAACCTGCTAATACAATGATATTTACACATGTACTAGAGGAAGTCAAACTTGACTGTTACATTCTCCTTTTCTGTAAGTTAGGAACGTCCCTGAGAGATGAATTCCAGTTACATGTAAGTTTAGCACCATTAGCAGAGGTTAATTAAGGGAACTTTTGATGCCTTTTCTTCCCATATTCCCAGTGATCTCGGAGCCCCATCCCACCTCCTCCCTTCACTGTTCCTGTTGCAGCACGTGGGTTCTGTCACACACTGCCAGGCTCTCAGTCTGGGCACTGTGCCCGTTTTTCCCTGTCGAATTCCCTGGCAATCCTTAAGGCGGTGCCGCTGAGCGACACGGACTGCATGTTGCACACAATGGTGACAATCACTCCCCTGGGCGGGGCCCCCCCGGCCCCGGGGCCCAGCTCCTCCGGCAGGATGAGGAGGACACTGCTCGCCCCCACTGCCCCCCCGGTGTGGGATGCATAGTGTCTCTGCTGCCTGCAGCAGCCACACTGCTGCTGCTTCTCCACCACGGCCCAGGCCATGGCGTATTTGCCGTCCCTGTCCCACGACACCTCTGTTTTTGGCACCGGCGTCCACATCATGGACACCGTGCCCGGTTTGAGGTACCCGGGCAGGAGTTTGCCAGCGCTGCTCTTAAACTGTCCGGCTTGGTAACTGTACAACAAGGCATTGCCAAACTTCAGGAGGTCCCCCACTGAGGACAGAAAGCCACCACCAGCCCACTTGTAGGAGTTGTCCACGTAGGGTGCGTTGACCAGCCGACCCTTTTTGTTGTAAACATAACACCTACAAACCAAGAACATTCAACTTGTCACTCTCGGGTACTGTGCACAACCATTTTAAGCTGCCCTACCTTAAAAGAGCAAACTGAGCACGTATTAGCTTGCTGAGGTTTTTTTTTTAAATATGTTACTCTTGAACATATTTATTGCAGAAAAATCAACATGAAATTCAGACAGGAAAGCAACAACTTAAGTCACTTCTTTGGTTAGAAGCTTGGTCTCAATACAAGTGCCAGTCCTACTTACTCTTCTACTAAGAATAAAGGCAATATACAAATAAGATATAACAGAAATCAATAGATCAGCCAACACAGATTTTTTTCTTAAATCCCTGTACTAGATTTGAAGTAGTTTAAAGAAAGAAGAATCCTACAACTACCCCATGATTATCAGAGCAGAAACGTCACTGAAGTCTCAGGTGACTGCTCTGACTGATTCCCTCAGTGTCCCATTCTGGTTGCCATGTTCTACAACAAAGCAAGAAGCACGAAAGAGCCTTGCAAAACACAAATTAACAACTGCCAAGCAGAGCTGCAGAATGAGCTGTGAGGAACAGCACAGCAGCAGTGCAGAATGAACTGTGCTTTGGAAAGAAACGGTCCAATCGTGACTGGATTCATTCCATACGACACGTGAGAAGGAACATTGAATTGTTGGATAACCCACCGAGTTTCAACCTGTGGTTTTTAGACCACATAAGGTCCACTTGGGGAGTTCTGAAAAGGAACCCTATCTAGTGGGCACTTATATTGGAAAGGTTTTAGGAAACTTCTGGAAGTTACAATATCAAAAATCAGAGGCTGAGGCAAAGAGAGATGAATGGTCCAAGATCCAAGACAACCATCAGCTCTGCCAGTGATTCACTATCTCATTGCCCCCACAGTGAGTGTTCTGATCACAAAAAACCTTTGTTACAAAGGCACTGAAATGCCTGCCTTACACCTCTAAAAGATCCAGAACATGGATTTTTAAACATTTTCCTATCAGTTAAACATAGTACAACCAAACCATTAAACAAACCTCAGCATGTCAATACATTCTATTTTGAGGCACCAAGCTACTATTTGTGGAAGCAAACCCATCACATCAGCATCTCAGTTTTGCTTAACAATTAACAGCTCAAAAAAGACTCCCAGAACAGCATCTGCCCCAAATCTTTCATCCCTACCATATTTCAGTTTATAAAATATTGAACAGGTGAGTTAATAACCAATTTCAGAGCCCAGATGGGAAGGTCAATAAAATAAAAGGAGAGACAGACAAGAAATTCCAGCCTTACCCACCATATTGGAATGGATTATCCAGTTACAGATTGCTCTGGGTTTGTTTTGTGTGGGTGGGGTTTTTTTTTCTTTGTTCAGGTTTTTTTGGGTTTTGTTTTTTTAGGGATTTTTTGCAGGGGAGGGGGTCCATGTTAAATTAATTTTTAAAAAATCAACTGGTAAAGCACGTTCTGTGTTAAACAGAACTTTAATTCTGGTCAAAATTGATAATGCAATCTGATTTATGAAAACCCTGTGTTATTGTGAGACTGTTACAATCCCATGGAACTCTTAAAATGCCAGTATATTAAGCAAACCAAGACAACCACAAATTCCAGTATAAACTCCTGGTTACTCCTTATTTTACTGTATTTACATTTATGTGCTTATTTGTACCCAAAGTAAAGGTAAATTTCCAAGACACCCTTCCCACTTCCCCCATATTTACTCTTACAACAAGAAACACTATATTTCCTACTCTGTTATTTTACACTAATTACAGAACCAATGCCATGGTATTGGAAGCAGCTCCATGACTAACTTGGAGATAACATACAACACTTCATTTATAAGTCTGGAAAAAATGTCACACATTGTTAATTCAATTGGATTAATAAAGGCAGAAAGAGCAACAGTTGTTGGGGGAAAAAACCAAGTTTCATCCTTGCTTACCTTGCTCTGTTATATATCATTGCTTCATTGTCATCCAGTACAGTGGACAGCATATCCAGATCACGAAACATTTTCAGCATATAGTCTGTAAATTTTTGTCCTGCAGCTCTCTCCACAACAGCACTTAAGAGAGTAAAGCCATATGTTGAGTACAAGAACTGACTGCCTTGAAGAAACACAAGGAGAAAGGGAAAAAAACCCATTAATGGCATGATGCTTAAATGGAATAACAGCTTTATATAGGAGTGAATAATCAATTAACAGATTAACTCTCCACCCTCAGTTTAATATGATGTGAATCACAAGCTTATGATACTAAACCCCAGGAAATTCTGTACTGCAGAAGAGAACAAAGCCCCCACACAAACACTTTGCTGGACTCCACCATCCTCATAACAGATAAAACTATTTGAAACACATTATCTCACCAGAAGAGCACACTCTGGTCTAAATTAATAGAAACTCACCTGGTTTAAAGAATAAAGGATCATTTTTAAATATCTTCAGTGAGTCAATCACACTTTCAAATTTTTCCTTCAAGTAATACTCTTCCTGCTCAAACTCCCTGTCCCTCCTGCCAGGTTTTGAGTTCCGGCTTCTCGTCTCACCGTCCTGTTCTTTCCTTGGTTTGGCAGAATCAGGTTTTTCAGTCCCTTTGCCTTCTCTTTGTTCTTTATCCTGCTGGGGTTTTGTTGGCCTCAGTGCTCTGTTTGCCTTTTCCTTCTCTTCTTTTACTTTTGCGATGTCTTTTTCGTAGTGACGGATCCCACTGAGGTGTGAAACCAACAGTCTGGTCGTAATAGTGACCTGGGACACAGGATAATGGGAGCTCCCTTCACTAAAACATATGCACCAAAATCACCCAACAAGTTAAATTCACCACGACAAGGAACAGGCGAGACCTCTTAAATATCTGTATTAAACCCAATAAAAATATATACATATATATGTACACGCTACACACTTGATATAAAACCGCAGGCCTGAATTTCCAGCACTGCTTTTCTGAGCAGCAACATCAGTACTTGTCTAAATGATTTTTGGTGTTTTACAGGAATAGGTCCAGAAGCAGGCACCTGTACACAGAGAGCTATGCAGTGACAGGAACTGAAATCTAAAAAAAAAACCCTTAATTAATTGTTACTGATAAACAATTACATACCTTTTCACCCTCGTAGACCTTTTCTGGAAATTCAGGGACATATTTCTGCACTGGAGCATCTAAATCCAGTTTCCCCTCTTCCCACAGTTTAGCCACTGCCATCATTGTGAGACACTTGCTAATGCTGGCGATTCTCATGATGGTCTCTGGCTTACACAGGACACGGTTCTCCACGTCAGCATAGCCCAGACCTTTGGGAAAACACAACACTCTGGTAGGTGCTTGGCACAGACACAGGCTGGATTCATTATATGCAGTGATTTACTGGCCCCTTAAATGTTTTTCCTCCAGCTAAACTGGGATATGAAGCATTGGACTATGCCAGCTCCTGCTTCAATCGAGTTAATAACTTTTTATTGTAGTAGACTTTTTTCTTCAACTTCTATAAAAGATAAAATGAAATATGTTGCCATTTAGTGCTTTAATTTAAGTTGTAACCAACATATTGGGGTTTTGAAACTCATGAAAATGTTTCTGAAAACAGACACATGTTTTTAGGGGGGTTTTTTACATCAAATGTCTACACAATATGAGCAGTACTAACATGTTCTGCTTAAACCTACACTGTGTAATCAGAACAATCACTCGCAATTTCTGAAAGGATGACACCTGTTAAATCCCAGCACCTTCCCAGGAAAAATCTGCACCTCAGCCCAGAGATGGGAGACAGGTCAACAAATGTGAACCATTTTTATTTTGACTATTAAGTCCCTGTGGGGAGAACATTTCTTTACCTCCTACATACAGTTCTACCAGACAAATTATCTATTGATTGGAGTGTCTGAATTGTTCATTTTTTAAATGTTCATCAGCTCTCCACAACAGGCACAACTACTCCCCCCATACACTGACCTTCTGACCACACTTCCTTTCCATCCACAGAAACTCCAACTATTATACCTGGGATTCCTGCTTCATCCTGTCAAAAAACACCAGACAGAGCACATTTAAAACTGCTTTTGCAATGCTGTCATTTTTATCCAGCCTCTGGGAAAAACACACCTTACAACAATAACCACATAAATAATTTCTTTAATAATTCAACCCAGTTAGGGAACAGGACATGTAGGAAGAACTGAACAGAAACAAACCATGACAGAGTTAATATGCAACAGGCAAACTGCATCACCTATTGGCAAGCAGGACTTCAGAGGAGCTTCAGCTGGATTTTCAAAGTAACCACAATGTACTTTTTAAACAGAATCCCAGATTACGCTGAGTTGGAAGGGATCCACGAGGACCATCCAGTCCAACCCTCAGTCCTGCACAGGCCCACCCCAACAATCCCACCCTGAGCCCCAGAGGATCATCCAAACCCTCCTGCAGCTCTGGTAGCCTTGGGGCTGTGCCCACTGCCCTGGGGAGCCTGTTGAGTGCCAACCACCCTCTGGGGGAAGAACCTTTCCTGAGATCCACCCTGAGCCTGCCCTGACACAGCTCCAGCCATTCCCTGGGGGCTGTCCCTGCTCCCCACAGGGCAGAGCTCGGTCCTGCCCCTCCTCAGGCAGTTGTGACTGCAGTGAGGTGTCCCCTCAGTCTCTTCTCCAGCTGAACAGCACCCAGTGCCCTCAGTGTCCTCACACGGCTCTTGCCTGAGCCTTTAGGGCCGCCCCTGCTCGCAGTGCCCCACACTGTGCCACAGCCCCGCATCGACCCGGCCCGAGCAGCGCTCCCCTCACACCTTGACCCTCCGCAGCAGGTCCCTGCTCCGCTCCACGGCCGCGCCGAAGCCCCGCGGGGGCGGCGGCTCCTCCTCCCGCCCGCCGTCCGCCTCGCCCCGGACCCCCACGGCCAGCCCCAGCGCCAGCCCCCAGCCCCACGGCCGGGCCCCGGGGACCCGCCCGGGCCGCGCCGCCGCCCGGCACAGCGACCGGCACAGAACGGCCCGGCTCGGCAGAGCCAGCAGAGCCCGGCTCGGCAGGGCCCGGCTCAGGGCCCGGCTCAGCCCCGCCATGGCCGGGCACGGCACCGCCCGGGCACAGGCACCGCCAGCCGCGCCCGAGCGCATCGAGCGCCGCGCCTGGGGCAGAGCGCGGAGACACCGGCACGGCTGGGACCGGCACGGCTGGGACAGGCACGGACAGGGGAGGAACACGGCATGGACACGGGTTAGACACCGGCTGGACACGGCACGGACACGGGTTAGACACGGCATGGACACGGCACGGACACGGGTTATACACGGCACGGACACGGCATGGACACGGCATGGACACGGGATATACAGGGGTTATACACCAGCTGGACACAGGCATGGACAGGGGATATACAGGGGTTATACACCAGCTGTACACGGGTTATACACTGGCTATACAACGGCTGTACACAGGTTATACACGGAATCAAAGAATCCCTTAAGTTGGAAAAGCTCACCAGGATCTCCAAGTCCCCCCTGTGCTCGCTCCCCTCCTTGTCCCCAGCCCAGAGCACTGAGTGCCACGGCCAGGCCTTCCCTGGACACCTCCAGGGCTGGGCACTCCAAACCTCCCTGGGCAGCCCCTGCCAGTGCCTGACCACCCTTTCCAGGGAGAAATTCCTCCTGATGTCCAACCTGTCCCCTGGCACAGCTGGAGGCCGTTCCCTCTCCTCCTGTCCCTTGTTCCCTGAGAGCAGAGCCCGACACCCCCCGGCTCCCCCTCCTGTCAGGGGTTGCAGAGAATGAAAAGGTCTCCTCTGAGCCTCCTTTTCTCCAGGCTGAGCCCCCCCAGCTCCTCCAGCTGCTCCTGCTGCTCCAGACCCTTCCCCAGCTCCATTCCCTTCCCTGGACATGCTCTGCCTCAATGTCCTTCTTGTCATGAGGGGCCCAGAGCTGGACACAGCCCTGGAGATGTGGCCTCACCAGTGCCCAGCACAGGGGATTTAGAGCTGGTTCCTTTATTTAACCACCAAAAGCCACCCATGTGTCCGTATACAGTCACAGGCAGTATTTAGTGAGTCAAATCCCTCTGAATCCTAACCAAAGCCTTACTCCTAGAAAAGAAAGGTTTTTAGAGCACAAATAAAAACTATTACCTGCAAGAGGAGCATATTTGATCTTGATTAGTCAGGAATTGCTTGCAAACGTCGAATCTTCCAGTGCTTTAGTGTCGAGTCCCAGCCTTAGGGCAGTGCCCATGGCACAGCAGAGCTCTGAAGGGACAGACTCCCCTCTTCTGCTCACAAGTGTGGCTCAGTGTTTTGAGATGCTAACCCAGGGATTTCCATCTTCTTCATGTCCCATGATCTCAAACGCTGTGGGATTTGGCAGGAAGTCAGGCCAAACAGCTCTCATGTGTGAAGTCAAATGCAGACCAGATGTTACCCTTTTCACTGCAGGCATTTATTGCTCATTAGTATTTTCTCAATAAAACTCCATTGCTTATCACAGTACAACTTCATAACCAACTGGTACACGATGCTGTATTTACTTTCTTGTAACTCGTTTTCACTGTGTTAAACTGTCTCTGGAAGCGTTTTGCAGCAGGATTCTCTGCGTTCTTGTATTAATCTGCTCAGCAGGAACACTCTTTGGCATCACACTTTTGAATGGGCCTGACACAGAGCTTGCCATTTTTCTCGGATTGCCTTAATGAAGACTTTTGTGTTAATTCCAGAAGCACAACATGTTCTGCAGTTATCTGTTGTCTCTTCCTCTAAGCTGCTGGTTTTGCTAACTTTGAGTTATCAGGCTTATGAGGTTTTGAGGGTTTTCTACTTCCACTGATAGCAATAGAAAATGAGGATGGTGAGCACTAGGCTAATCCAATTCTAATTTAACAGAAAAGACAACATTTTTCTTCTGTCATTGTCCATAAGTCACTCAGAAGTCGATCCGGAGACCCCTCGGGGTGGGTGGAAAAAACTCCACATGGTTGGTTTAGCACCAAACCAGCTGACTTTTCCTCTGCTCTTGATCAAACCTGATGTTTCTACTCTCAGCACAGGAAAGATTTAAAAAACTTCCTAAATTTGAAAAGAATATAATTAAAGAGAGTGTTAGGGAGAAACTGAGCTGTGCTTTCTCCCTCTCTCTTTTCAGAAGCAATTGCATTCATTTGAGAAGCAAGAGACAGAATTTTTATTCCCCTCTGGCTTGAAGCATCTGTACAGTAGATGGCAGTAAAAACCCTTACCAGTTGAACCAGTTGCCTGGAAAAGGAGTGGTTCCACTGGCGTGGGATCTACACGGCATGTACATGGGTTATACACCGGCTGGACACGGGATATACAGGGGTTATACACCAGCTGTACACGGGTTATACACTGGCTATACACCGGCTGTACACAGGTTATACACGGAATCAAAGAATCCCTTAAGTTGGAAAAGCTCACCAGGATCTCCAAGTCCCCCCTGTGCTCGCTCCCCTCCTTGTCCCAGCCCAGAGCACTGAGTGCCACGGCCAGGCCTTCCCTGGACACCTCCAGGGCTGGGCACTCCAAACCTCCCTGGGCAGCCCCTGCCAGTGCCTGACCACCCTTTCCAGGGAGAAATTCCTGCTGATGTCCAACCTGACTGTCCCCTGGCACAGCTGAGGCCGTTCCCTCTCCTCCTGTCCCTGTTCCCTGAGAGCAGAGCCCGACCCCCCCCAGCTCCCCCCTCCTGTCAGGGAGTTGCAGAGAGTGAGAAGGTCCCCCCTGAGCCTCCTTTTCTCCAGGCTGAGCCCCTCCAGCTCCCTCGGCTGCTCCTGCTGCTCCAGACCCTTCCCCAGCTCCATTCCCTTCCCTGGACATGCTCTGCCTCAATGTCCTTCTTGTCATGAGGGGCCCAGAGCTGGACACAGCCCTGGAGATGTGGCCTCACCAGTGCCCAGCACAGGGGATTTAGAGCTGGTTCCTTTATTTAACCACCAAAAGCTACCCGTGTGTCCATATACAGTCACAGGCAGTATTTAGTGAGTCAAATCCCTCTGAATCCTAACCAAAGCCTTACTCCTAGAAAAGAAAGGTTTTTAGAGCACAAATAAAAACTATTACCTGCAAGAGGAGCATATTTGATCTTGATTAGTCAGGAATTGCTTGCAAACGTCGAATCTTCCAGTGCTTTAGTGTCGAGTCCCAGCCTTAGGGCAGTGCCCATGGCACAGCAGAGCTCTGAAGGGACAGACTCCCCTCTTCTGCTCACAAGTGTGGCTCAGTGTTTTGAGATGCTAACCCAGGGTTTCCATCTTCTTCATGTCCCATGATCTCAAACGCTGTGGGATTTGGCAGGAAGTCAGGCCAAACAGCTCTCATGTGTGAAGTCAAATGCAGACCAGATGTTACCCTTTTCACTGCAGGCATTTATTGCTCATTAGTATTTTCTCAATAAAACTCCATTGCTTATCACAGTACAACTTCATAACCAACTGGTACACGATGCTGTATTTACTTTCTTGTAACTCGTTTTCACTGTGTTAAACTGTCTCTGGAAGCGTTTTGCAGCAGGATTCTCTGCGTTCTTGTATTAATCTGCTCAGCAGGAACACTCTTTGGCATCACACTTTTGAATGGGCCTGACACAGAGCTTGCCATTTTTCTCGGATTGCCTTAATGAAGAGCTTTGTGTTAATTCCAGAAGCAAAACATGTTCTGCAGTTATCTGTTGTCTCTTCCTCTAAGCTGCTGGTTTTGCTAACTTTGAGTTATCAGGCTTACGAGGTTTTGAGGGTTTTCTACTTCCACTGATAGCAATAGAAAATGAGGATGGTGAGTACTAGGCTAATATAATTCTAATTTAACAAAAAAGACAACATTTTTCTTCTGTCATTGTCCATAAGTCACTCAGAAGTCGATCCGGAGACCCCTCTGGGTGGGTGGAAAAAACTCCACATGGTTGGTTTAGCACCAAACCAGCTGACTTTTCCTCTGCTCTTGATCAAACCTGATGTTTCTACTCTCAGCACAGGAAAGATTTAAAAAACTTTCTGAATTTGAAAAGAATATAAATAAAGGGAATGTTAGGGAGAAACTGAGCTGTGCTTTCTCCCTCTCTCTTTTCCGAAGCAATTGCATTCATTTGAGAAGCAAGAGACAGAATTTTTACTCCCCTCTGGCTTGAAGCATCTGTACAGTAGATGGCAGTAAAAACCCTTACCAGTTGAACCAGTTGCCTGGAAAAGGAGTGGTTCCACTGGCGTGGGATCTCTCTTGGCTGTCCCAGAATTACTGAACTCAGTTGTCATTAGGGGTTCCTCAGCCACAGCCATTTTTTGTTTGCTCTTGGTCAGTGCAGTTCTCAGAGCATTATTTTTTGCACCAGTAACATCCTGTGCTGGGACAGTTAACCATGAAAACAGGCAGACTATCCTCTAAAGGTACATCAATAAATGCATACTCACAGCTCGACTTCAGGATTAAAATCTTCCCTGGGTTGTTGCTTTTTTCCCCAAACTAAGGTTGCAGGCAGGTGAATTCCCCAACGGCTTAGCTGAGAAACATCAGTCAGGAACAACCCTTTAAACATGCAAGCTGTCTGGCCAAGAGAAAGAGAAGCATTAAAACCAGTGGGTCTTCAGACACCGAGATCAACGTGTCCATCATCAGCTCTGCCTGAACTCTGATTGGGATATTTGTTAATCAGAACTGTCTGGGGAGTTTAATTAAACATGACACAGCTTTTCTGCACCCCAGCAGAACCCTGGCCGTGTTGTGGCCACAGCAGCACACGGTGCCATGTCCCTGGCCCCTCACAGGGTGTTCCAGGGCAGCAGTTGTGGTCCCTGTAATAGAAAGGTTAACTTTGTTCATAAAATCTTATGTGTATAAAGGAATAAGGAATTTTTGTTATAATTCAACAAGTTTCATGGACATCCTGTTAATCAAGCAAGTATCAGTAAAAATAATTGCAGACATCTTGCTAAATAAACAAGTATCTGTATCAGTAAAATTTACAACTGATAAGAAACTGCACCTTTCATCTCTGACAAATACCAGATGACCACTTAAAAATGAGCTACAAACTCAAGCCTCAACGCAGCCACATTAAAATCTCGGGAC